CAAATTGAGTTATTTCAAGAATGCAAAACTGATTTAAAATTTAACAATCTTCGTAATTCATCACATTAACAGAATAAAGGGGACAAGTAATTTAAGCATCTCAATAGATGTAGAAAAGCCCCTGTTTATGACAAAAGTTATTAGAAAACTAGAAATAGAAGGGAGCTTCCTTAATCTAACATGCTTGTGAATATTAAAAAATAATAAGAGATTTATAGATTAATTTTAGTATTAGGAAGTAAGCTTGCAAGGTCACTGGATATGAGATCAGTATATGAAATGCAATTTTATTTCTATAGACCAAGAATAAGCAGTTAGAGAATTTTAACAATTTTAAGATACTATATATAACAGCATCAAAAATTCCTAGGTACCTAGAAATAGACATATTGAGAACTATAAAAATCTTGCACACAGAAATCTATAAAAAATTGTTGAAGGAAAATAAAATTACGTACATCCTTCTGCAATTAATTTGGCATAGGATGTGAGGTAAAGATTAACTTAACTTTTTTCCAATTAGTGAAGCAACTGTTTCAGCATGTTATTCTTTGTTGATTTGAAACGTCACATTTCTCACAGCCTAAAATTTTGCTTATTCTTAAGACTGGGTTTGTTCCATTGGTTAGTCTAATCTTGTACTGATAGTAAATAATTTAAATATGATAGCTTTATAATATATTTCATTATCCAGTAAGACAATTCTGTCATTGCTGCATTTTTGAAAAATTCCTTGGCCATTTCTATGTGCTTACTATTTGTTTGTTTTCAAGGCCTTTTACAGATGAGTTTATTTCATATCAGTGATTTGTGATAAAAATTTCCATAACACATTTGCCACCCTTTTCCCCAGATTGTGAACTTTCTCATTCAAAAAAGCCCCTGATCCAACCCATGATCTCTATGTTGCTTTTGATGGTTATTTATTGTTTTATTGAATTATGGCAATTTAAACTATTGTGTTAATTTCTGGTATACAACATAGTGATTAAGTTATACATACACATATATGTATATATATTTCTCTTCATTTTCTTTTTCACTATAATAGAGCCATTACAAGCTACTGAATATAGTTCCCTGTGCTAAACAATACGACCTTGCTGTTTATCTATTTTATATGTAGTAGTTAGTATCTACAGATCCCAAACTTCCAATTATCCCTCCTCACCCCTTTCCTCCCCTGATTAATCATAAGTTTGTTTGTGTCTATCTCTGTTATATAAACAAATTCATATTTGTCCTTTTTGATTTTTAAGAATTCACATATAAGTCATATCATATGGTATTTTTCTTTATCTTTCTGGCTTACTTCACTTAGAATGACAATCTTCAGGTCCATCCATATTGCTGTAAATGGCACTATTTATTCTTTTTTATGGCCGAGTAGTATTCCATTGTATAAAATATACCACAACTTCTTTATCCAGTCATCTTTCAATGGACATTTAGGTTGTTTCCATGTCTTTGCTATTTTATCTAGTGCTGCTATGAACATTGGGGTACATGTATCTTTTTGAATTAAAGTTCCCTCTGGATATATGCCCAGGAGTGGGATTGCTAGATCATAGAGTAAGTCAATTTTAGTTTTTTAAGGACTCTCCATACGTTTTCTATAATAGCTGCATCAAACTACTTTCCTACCAACAGTGTAGGAGGGTTTCCTTTTCTCCACATCCTCTTCAGCTTTTATTATTTGTGGACTTTTTAATGATTGCCATTCTGACTGGTATGAATTGATACCTCATTGTAGTTTTGATTTGCATTTCTCTAGTAATTAGCAATATTGAACATTTTTCATGTGCCTATTGGCCATTTGTGTATCTTTATTGAAGAAATGTTTGTTTAGGTCTCCTGCCCATTTTAGGATTGGGTTGTTTGTTTTTTTTGTTATTGAATTATATGAGCTGTTTGTATATTTTGGAAATTAATCCCTTGTTTGTCACATCATTTGCAAATATGTTCTCCCATTCCATAGGTTGTCTTTTCATTTTATTTATGATTTCCCTTGCTGTGCAAAAGCTTATAAGTTTAATTAGGTCCCATTTGTTTATTTTTGCTTTTATTTCTATTGCCTGGGTAGACTGCCCTAGATTGCTAAGATTTATGTCAGAGAATGTTTTGCTTATGTTTTCTTTTAGGAGGTTTATAGTGTCTCGTCTTATGTTTAAGTCTTTAAGCCATTTTGAGTTTATTTTTATGTATGGTGTGAGGAAGTGTGCTGACTTCATTGATTTGCATGTGGCTGTCCAGTTATCCCATGTGTGCTTTCTCTTTGTGATGAGCTTTAGAATTTCTTTGTTTGCTCTCCCTCAAAATACCAACAGAAATTTTTACTGAAATTGCAAAAAAAAAAATAAAATAAAACAGAAACAACAGCAACAAGAACAACACCAAAACCTGTTGGTTAACTAGAAAAGGGGAGGAATTGAGGCTTGTTTATGATAGTGAATCTTCCCACCCAGTAACACACAGCATAACTCACTATTCATGGCAGGCCTGTGTGAGCCATGATAGAACATGAACTTGAAATTGCTAAATCTCTCTTTGTAAATGAATGTCTTCTAATGCATGCAGGATTCTGTTTTAGAATGTCCTAGGTTCGAATTCCAGCTCCATCTCCTTCTAGTGGTATAACCACAGAACACAAAATTAATCTCTCTGAGCTTGAACTTCCTCATAGAACGTCATTTAATAGGGTTTCTCTGAGATGAAAGAGACTGTATATAAAGTGCTTAGCACACTGCCTGGCACTTGGTTCACATTCACATTATAGTAGTTGTCCCTGTTGCTGCTGCTGTTAGTCTTATTCTCTGTAGCACCTGGCTTAATTTCTTTTACATGAAGGCACTCAGTAAATATTTGTCTAATGAATGTGTAATCATGTATTGATCAGTGACATTTGAAATAAGGAATTTAAATTCTCTGTAATCCACTTGTGATCATACTGGAATTAATGCAGGAAGGAAACTGTGTGCTTTCTCAATAGCCTAAAGGAAATATCTCCTTTCCCACTTGGTGTTTCCAGGTACCTAAATGGGGCTCAGGGCAGATAACAATTCGCTACCAGTTTAAAAGGGGGTGAAAAAAGTCCCCTTACCTTTTCTAAGAACAAACTTCCATAGAGAAAGCTAGAAGGAAAATATTCCTTATTGAGATTATTTTGAAGAAAAACAATTCACTCGTTTCAAAGAATGACTAACAGGAAAATTTCATTTATTTTTGTCTAGATGCTAATAGTTAAGACTTACCTGTTACCACATATATAGAAATCTCAGACATTTAAAAAATACAAGAAGAAGATCCAAGGAGGTTCAAGGACCAGAAACATGGTCAGAAAAATGAAGCTTTGCTGGTCCAAATACCCTCCGTTCCTCATAACAAAGCATGCTTCTCGCGTCGTGAGTGAACAGAGAGAATGCTATCCTCAGATTAGACGTGACGTGGTAACAACAACAGAAAAAAAAAAAGCCTTCGGGTTCATTCTGTATTCAGGGTGGGCTGCTGTAGAACATTTGTTTCACAACCAAAAGTTGACAGAACAAATCCAAAACATTTCTGTGTACATGTTTACACGTGCAGCGATTGGCATCCGCGGTGGGTCTGAAGGTGTGCCTGAAGTCCCTTATGCTTTTTGTAACATTTTCAAATTCATTGCTGTCTTCTAGATGACAGGAAATTCAGGTCTGCTTTCCTCCTGGGAGATCTTTATTCACAGACAAGTCAAAAACCCTTGACAAAAGGCAACCCAGGGAACTTGTTGACCTTTTAGCTGTCTGGCTAACATCAGTGCAAGTATTGTTCCCTGATAAAACAAGAAATTCAATTTAAGGGGAAATTTAGAAGGCATTTGAGGCACTCTCATTTTATTTTACCTCTTTGGCTGTCTTTCAAACTGAGAACAAATGTAAATAAACAAGAGCTGCACTCTCATTCCGAGGATTCAATAACAAATATCTGGTCTCACAGCTTGATGTAAATGAGACACTGTCTGTCTTTGGATTTATCTCTCCTTTCAGCCATTTGTAGAATTTTTTTCACACTTTCACACACACACAGACAACCCCCCCCCACACACACACAATTATTAAGAAGTTAAAACTTCACTTCTTTGGCTAGATGTTTTGTTTTCTTTTTCACATATCATTTGTTACATCTTGAAAAGCTACATTCTTTATAAATGGGAAAAAAAAGAACCAATCACATCCCAACAATGCACTCTCAAATATTTATCACTTGTGTGATGAGTCCAAAGAAAAATACTCAAGTGAAGAGCTTACTGATTTTGTAATAATTTTTATTTTGACAGATGTTGAGTAATCACAATATTTTTTCTATTGAAGTTGATGAAACATTCATTCATCAAACAATAAGTGTCAGGCACTGTGCTGGGAGTATAAAAGACACAGGTGCTGCCTTCAGGAAGGAAGGTGCTGCCTTCAGGAAGGAAGAGCCTAAAGGAAGAACATGTAGGATCAAGAAGCTCACTGAAGTGCATGAACTGAGTTCATAGCTATAAAAGGAAACCCCCCTACACAAAGTACTCACCAAGTATTCTATTTCTGCTTAATAGCATCTCATATTCCCATAATTTCTACAGAGACTTCACATTTGAACTACTCCAGCTAATCTCAGCACTTTTAAGTAATATAATAGTTCAGTGTGCTGTGGGGGTTCCCTGGAAGATGGTGAAACGAAGAGAAGGAAGAAGTCTTTCTTAGATCTATCAAGTCTTACTTCATTAAAACAGGTTTGAAGTACTTACACAGCATAGAACAGGAAAGCATAATCATGGGAGAGAGTCTGAGAGCCTCTCAAAGTCCACAGAAATACGTTACTAAGAAGTATGTGTTTTGGGGTTTTTAAAAATTTTTTAGTGGAAATAATGGGGATTGAACCCAGGACCTCCTGTATGGTAAGCAAGCGCTCTACCACTGAGCTATACCCTCCCCCCAAGAAGTGTTAAGTGTGCTGCAGTAAAAGATCTCTACCGCCTTCAGAGCAAAAACTATTGGGGAGAAGGAGGTAGGAGACTTAAATTATCTTCTTTCTTTTACCATTGTACTCTCCATTCCATCATGTCTTGTCTACTTGGATATAATCATTTGACATGGTTTCTAACAACAGCAAAACAGTCTTATAAGCACCCACTGGAAACAGCTAAGCTAGAAAACAAAGGGGTTTTTTGGTTTGGTCCTCCCAGTCAGACCAATTCTTTGAACTTGAAAACTCAAGCAAGGAGTAGGTACATCATCACTGTGTTTGGCTTCACTCCAACTCATCCACTAAGAGCGTGACTCCAGTCTGGTGCATTAATTCAAAGACACATAGCTGGGAGTGACCAAGATGGAGAGCGTGGGCTACATGCGAAAGCTGGCTCTTGTGAGCTTTGCCTCTCAGTGACTTGTGAGGCCCTCCTGGGCAGCAGGAAGCCAGGCTCTTGGAGCCACCCTGCCCCACCTCAAGATGGCAAAGCAGAAACAAGCAAAAGTACCCATGCATTATTATTCATACAGTTTAGTTCCTGATTAAAATAGATTTCCAAGAAACCATGGCCACCTACTGCCCTTGCAAAATTCTGCAATTTCTAAGCATCATTCTGAAGGGCTAACAATAGTGTGATTAGGATGTTGGCATAGTGCCCAAGTCACGTGACTTCCAGCTCATGTTTCCTACCATATGATGTTCAGCCTACAGCCTGCAGCCCCAGTTGTGGCATAACTTTGGTATGGCTAGACCATGAGGCCAGACTGCAGGCAGAGTGAAGCCCCAGGCCCGCTCTGGGGGCTTCACCAGGAGGGTCAGCATGGGGGGTCTTTCAGTTTGTTTTCCCCTTGACTCATTAACTCAGTAAAAAATACTTTACATCACAATCCAGTACACACACACACACACACACACACACACACACACACACACACTCTCTCACTCACCTCATACATCAATAATACAGAACAGACTACTTACCAACAACAAACAAAAATACTATCTAACAAT